TTATTTCTATGTTTCAAACTCTGTCTACACAAAGCTATCGTTAAATTATCAAGAATTCTATATCCCGGATTACATTGTAACGATGAGATAATTCGTTAAAAATGCGTTTGAACTAAGAGAATAATTTCATACATTCGAAATAGAACAATGATTTATTTAATCGTCGTTACTTTCATCTTAGTATTCCAAATAATTAAGAAATTATCTATTATAAAACATGTATCAAATATATTTTCAAATAAATACTCGCGTTGGAATAAAAAGACAATAGAATCGTTCATACACCACTGTCTTAGTTAATATAAATTAAATGTTACAAAATTTCCATGAGAATTCGTCGGATTGATCATTAATCTTCGTTACACCCATATATTAATATTCCTGTTACTTCTAATATTATCCCTGCTATCGGTCGATAACCTGCACGAAAAATAACCAAAAATTAAAACAAATGTATAAAATAATTAAATGAAACACAATCGAACTGAAGTCTTGTTACAAAGGCTTACGATAGAAGCTACCGGTAGCAATATCATTTGATAAATAGACGACTGAAGAGACATTCAGACAAAAAGTTTCTTAAAACCACTTAACTTCATTGCCTTAATGTTCGAAGAATCGTTAAATAGACGTGTATTAGTTAAACGATATTAATAAACGAGATATAAACGATAGTAAAAAAGTAAAGTAGAAACGACGCCACCGAAAGCACGCGCCAGTAGGTTAGAATACGTTAGAAATCTGACGCAACGCGATCCATGTTATCGGCACAAAATGAGACAACTGAATGACTTCTCGAGGCTTTGTCTCGCTATTCAATTTCTAAAGTGGCGGGAGTGGGGTCGCACGAGTCAGTGGCACAAGCAGGTACGAAAGATCTAACGATCCACACAAAAAAAAGTGTATACATCTGCAAATACGTATTTGTAATTCACCTTTCACGCAGCGCTTAGATAAATCTTTCGAAATTTCAGACAAACCATACATCGCGCAATATCTATACCCTGCACAATGTTTACATCGATCTTTCTAAGCATCGTACAATAATTCGATCGATCAATAAAAGATCGATATTATATTTTTACATACTTCTAAATAATATTTGCAATTTATTTTATGCATTTTTACAACTTTAAATTTCTCATAATTGCATAAACACATTCGCAGCCTATTTGGAATATTTTCAGTATAAATATGTATAAAAACATTTAAAATAATATAAATTGGAAAATTTTATAAATATATAATGCAATTTTGAGAAATGACTTACTTACGCACTAATCGTTTATGTATAAACATAAACATATACATCGTAGATATATCGTATATCTAATAATGTATTAGATAATAATTAATGTAATGTAAATTAAATAAGAATACTCAAGTCTTTATTTGATGTTTGATAGATTTTCTAAATGTCCGTTCACAAATTAAACAAATTCTTTGGAGGAAGTATTTTTATAAACAGGATTGTTCATTAATTGTGAATTAACATTGCTATTTAAAATTTGTTTTATACAAGTCTTAAAAAAATGTTGGCTTATAATATAAATTTATTATACAAAAAATGGTATATTTATGTAAATTATGATTTAGGTAGATATATACATACTGTTTATCTACAGAATTGAACGTCGTAAAAATATTTTTCTTAATTTTTCTTTCTAACAAAGAATGTAAAATTTTGCTTGTATAGAAAATATAAAATTTACAAATTGGTAAAATCTTAAATCTAAAATCAAATATATGAAATCGCAGAAATGAAAAAGAGAGCCGGTTACGTATTGCTTTAGGATTTTTATTTCTTATAGCCAGCAGTTGATATCAATATGTATAGAAAACTGAAAGTAAAAAATCTATAAGGAAGAAATGTTGAAAAAATTCATAAGCACTCGTGTATTATGAATTTGTGAATCTGCAAAATACTAGACTTTACTTTTTAACACTTTGTACTGCGTCGTAAATAAATTGCGAATGGTTATGCAAATTGAAATAACCGTTTGCCGTGAAATTACATGAAATTTGTCCGTAAATCGAAGCAACGAATGGTCACGTTCGGTCGCCGCAAGCCTCACCTCGAGTCACGATCGACACGGGGATGAGAAATGCATTCGAAAGTTGGACGAGTAGAAATGAAATCATGGATAACGATCTGTCCGGAAAGTTTTCGAAGCATTTTTTAGCCTCGTTTTTATTTCCGGACGAGTGATTTCGAGACTCCGGTGAATCGACTCGCGATTTCGACTCGCGATTCCGACTCGTAATCCGCGCAAAAGAGCATAGGAAGGATTATTCTATGGAAACGCGTTCGATCTTTAATCCTTTCACCAGTACCGATGATGAAAAACATTTTGATGCTCGTTCGGTGAATATTTCCTTTTGTATATATTTCTTATTTCTTTCTATAATTTTTGCGAGACAATGGAATACGTTTTTCTGAATTCTTATTTATATGCGATGACGTAGGAAAATTCTAATAACGAAGTAGGATACAGTAGATAGAGGCAGATTATGTTTTAAGAGATTGGTTTTTATACTTTCCTGAAAGGATTGCGACGCAAAAGAATTGCTTGAAAAGAAAAGTGACTTTTACATTCGGCAGATAATTCTTACGTCTAAATAAAAACATAAATTACGACAAGTTAATAACATAAACGCTAATAAACCTTTTAAATTACAGATCTAGTGCAATTCTAGTAGAAAATGGAGTGAGTAACGTAAAATTTTCGAAGGATCGTTACCTATAGGCTCCTTTAAAGAAGGAACGCTACGAAAAAGAATAAATTTCATATCTAGAGTAAACATAAATCACGCCGACTGCGGCGACCTAAGGCGAAAATGACACCAATAAACTCTAGATACATGTAGTTTCCGCGAATCTAAAGCCATGAAAGTTAAGGCCAGAAATGGTTTCGATCAATTGCAAAGGTTAGACGGAGCATTTTCATTTGTCGAGAACAATATAAAAGCTATCTCTTTGTCGAAATATATAAACGCATGCTCCATGTAGTCGAGGATGACCGAAAGGAACATATCGTGTCACATCGCAACATAGACGGGCTACACAGACGTATACAAAGTCGACAAAGTTCTTCTTTTAGCAAGTTCACGACACCGTGAAAGCGTTTCGTCTACCATTAATTAGCTTCTGGCAGCGTGCACGTTCCTACACATAGATACACCCGCGTAACAGCTTTAAACGAATTGTTTCGGTGTTAACCGACTGGGATGCAACCATACCTTATTAGGAATTTCTGTTAAATTAAATGCTGGCTACCCGTGATACCCGCTGACATTTCGCTGAGACTACAGTATTTCCTGTTTTGCGTCGAAGGTAACCAACCAATGTAACGAGCATGGTTCTGTGCCCTCTCGCTTTTTGCCTGGTAATTCCGATTATTTGATTTTCCAGAGGGATCGTAGCAGCGAGAAAACATTGCTGCACCAGTTTTCGCTAAATTCGAGAATAGGTAAGCAAGAGATGTTTCATGTTTTTGATGCGTCTCGAGAATCGAGAACCGAGAATCAGGAATGGATGATTTTGTCTTGCTTCCTTCATTCTTTCGAATTTAATATAAATTTGGTGGAAATTTTATTTTCTATTTTATTTTTTGTGAAGCTGTGTCGGCTGAATTCTTGGTAACAGGATGAAAATTTCTAAAAGATCCTTTATGATATTTGCTACAATTAAAATGCATAATGACTGCTTTCTAATAAATGAAATTTCTCTAACAACGAGTGAGTCTCGTTGCTTTTCCTAACACTGCGAAAGATAGAAAAAACCACAAATATTATAAGCGATTGATAAGTTAATCTTGAATCATCGCACATTGTTATTATAATCTTTTAACGCCATAAGGGCTTATAAAGTTTTTCGATAAAATAAGAAATTTAATGTACATAGTGAAAAAATTACCTTGGGAAGTCAATTTTCAAATACTCGACACTCTTACCTCATATAAATGATTTTTATGTGAAAAATAAAAACTAAAGGCGGAGTTTCAATTATCAAAATTTGAAACGGAAAAAGGAATTAAACATGTCATTTAAATCGATATATGTACACATATTTTTTTTCTTTTTTTCAGTAGAAAATTCATTAGAAATTTAATTTGTCCGATTCGGTATGGCCGAGCAAGTAGAATAGGTCCATGCTCGGTCAGCCATATCTTCCAATCTAATTTCCATAAATACAGTTCACACTGGTTTTTGAATGATATTTGATATAAACAAAGTTTTAGATAGATTTGGAAACAATTAATTCATTCCATTTACCAAGAAAACTTCTACCGACATCCACGATACTTCGATTCGAATAAAATCGACCGATCATTTTTACCACGTGACTGCGAGTGGTTGGTTGTTTCCTGGTTAATTAGAGGATAAAAAAGAAAGACAAAGAAACAAACGTATATACCGTCTAGTCTGTCGGGCGCAATTATTGTACGTTGACGATTTTTGTCGATGGTCGAATAAGGGAGAGGGTGAAAAAGGGTGAAAAATCGCGTTGAAGACAAAAGCTGGACATACATCGGTGAACAAAAATGGCGTGCCTTAATTCGTGAGGTGCAATCTTGCATGAATTCGCATTTCAGCGATCCTTGTCTCTCTAACGCGGTTTCCGGTTGCTGCGTGAACGAAATCATCTTCCGACCGCGATGCACACTCGGCTGTTCTCTCTCTCTCTCTCTCTCTCTCATCACATTTCGTTCGAATTATGATAAAAATGAAACGTATTCGTTTTGAAAATTTTCATAATTTTTTATTCTTTCTCTAGGCATTTGGATATTTTTGATAATAGGATAGTATTATACAGAGTTGAACTGATCTCTAGTTTCTATAACAAATATGAAGTAACTTCTAAAGTTGTTAAACCTATTATATATACTATATATATCAAGAAGATTCGAATCTGCTTCTTTTTCAACAAAATGATCCTCTGTTTGCTATACGTTATATGTTATCTGGAAACAGCAGTACACATACATTTTCCTCGCAAAACAACGACCTAAAATCTCTGTTTTTTTTTTAGATTCCACAAAGCACATGCCAAGAATACAGTTCTCCGGTGGGACAGCCCAACAAGGTCTATCAACTTGCTGGAAAAAATAATGCGAGCGAAGCGCATCAAGGAGGAGACGCGCTTCAGATTGCTGAGGTACACGCTCCGCGCCAAGTGTCGCAAGATCATTTAGTCGGCCCTCGTGTTAATCTTCTCAGAAGCAGATTTCCACTTGTTGTCGAACGAAAATCAATCGATCTTGGTCGATCATCCGCAGTGGCTGTGATTTGTCTTCGTGATAACGATTATATTCGAACGTCGCGATAAAAATAACGAAATCGCTGCGTGTGTGCACACGTGCTGCGTGTTTCGACGTTTGTACCTATCAAATAATATACTCGTATGTGTAGTGATCGAGAGACCGAAAACCGAGGCTGGGGACACGGAAAAATATGCTCGTAATTGTAAGCTCCGCGGCTATCGATCGTTCCGCGGGGAACGTCGCCCAATAGGAGTCGTTCTTCGGTACTCGGCTTCGAGAAACACCTGGCTGTACCCGATGCTGAATTTTTGGTTTCGTCGAAACACCGCGATTCGAAGAAATTCGATGAAAATTTCCGTTGCATCGAAATAGCCAGGTTTCGTCGTCGAATCATAAGTACTTTGGTGCTATTCCAACTGACGTAGATAAAACACACTGTCGAATAACTGATACGAAAGAAAAAACAAATTTGTAATATCGTGAAAAGGTTATGCCGTTTATAAAAGAAAGTACTAAAGAAGAGCACTGAATTTTCGACTAAATTACATTCGTTGAAAAATATAAAGTAAATTGCAAAGTTTAATAGAGAGCCGAATAAAAGAGACGATCGATGTTACGAAAGATAGAATAACGAATAGCTCTGAGTTTTGAGCTGAATGGAATTTAGACTGAATTAGATCCGTCAAAGAATATAGTAAAATATGATTCTTATTAGAGGATTACTGTTACAAAAGAAAATTTTATATAAAATTGTTTGAAAATCGTAAAGGTTGAACGGGATTGAAAAATCCGTAGTGAATTGACTATTTTAATTTGAACAAAAGATCCGAGTAATTTATATCTGCAAATAAAAATTCGAAGACTTTATACTATGGTAGCCGGAAAGGAAGTTTGCAGACGAAACTACAAAGAGAATCGTTAAATTCGTTAAGTCCTCCAAGTTCGAAACAAAAGAAGAAAATTTCCCGAATAGTTAGTTAGTGTACCTCGTATAAAAGGACGAACGTATAAAAGGACGTTAAAGCTTCAAACCGTGAAGAAGAAAATCCTGAAACTGAAAGATTCTCGTATAAAAGGTAACAGTAAAATTTCTTGATCTGTTGAAATGTCTGTATAGAGTGAGATCGAAATACAGAAAGAGGAAAATCAAAGAACGTCGATAATAGCGAAGAACATGATTTTCCATAGTTCGAATATTCGATTAAAAAAAAAAAACGAAAAGAAAATGGTAATACAGAATCAGATGTGAAAATATACTCAAGAATTTTTCAATTTATTGCAAGATTTTTGGATCTGAAAAATTATGAGGTTAAAATCACACAGCGGAAAAATGTTATCGAAAGTTTTCGACAAGTTTGGAAAACATGTCACGCGAGAAATAATAATTTGAAGAAGGCTAGATTCGTTAAAAAAGCAGATACTTGGAATTTCTCCACAGAAAGAGGCAGACGTTTAGAAGACAGAGTTGAAGGAAGATGAGAAATTCTTCGTAGCAGAGCCGTAGGAAACCGCGAAATCACTAGAAAGATCTTCAGAAAAAGCACCAACGTCTGATTGATTCATCGTCACTGTTGCCAAAATACATCGTGTTGACAATGAAATAATATCCGGAAGCACGGTAGATCCATGGTTCTCCGTCGCAGCAAGAAAGGCGTTCGAAACTTTCGTGAGATGTAAGGATAAAAACGACAGGGTAGAAAATCTTGGAGTCGATTTTCTAATCCCTCCCCACTCGCCACGCGTTTTCCTTTAACGAAAAGTATTTCGGTACGGATATTTACAAACTTATAATAAAGTAGATGGACTTGAGGAAAGTTTTTAAGAAGCAATACAGAGGACGCGAGACTTTTTTAATTCGAGGAAATAGTTTCTGCAACTTGAAAGGGCTTAGAGGATGAGTCGGGGCACTTGAATCGCAAGTAATTATTCCTGTTAATGATGACATCGGGAAAATTGCTGGTGAAAATGAATTTGAATAAAGATTCGGAAAAATATTCAAAAATTACAGACTAGTAACGAAGCGTAGAAAAAGAAATTAACGGTTGGTCCCAGTAGTTTAGGAATTTTGCGCGATTGCGTCAATTAAAAATTATGCGAAGAATTATGAACACACATACGTATGACATACGTAAGTAAAGGGCGAGGTACATTACCTTTAACCAAAATTTCATAAATATAAAACCTGTCTCGTTATCAAAATTCTACTAAAATCACTCGGATCTTCTTTATCGTAAACAAACTTTAATACATCGACAACAATATAAAGGGATCATAGAATTGATGCTGAAAGATTGCGAAACCAACAAGAGCATTACGAAAAATCATACAAGTATCGCACAATTGCTCTTTATCGTGAATCAACTTTAGTAGGCCGAAAAACCCAAAAGAGAAGGAAAAGTAGAAGGAAATCGGCTGGAATAAAGGGTGAAGAAGTTGGTAGTGAAAGGTGGGAGTGGAAATGGGCGAAACACGAGAGTGGAACGAGCAGCGTCAGCGTGCCGATACGATTTTCTCAATGCAGTAGAATCGGGACACGTCGGTGACGGTGAACCGAAATTTCCTGAGTGAACGCGAGACGGAGGACCGCCATCCTCGACGAACGGGCAACCGTCTCTTTGCCGGCTAAAGGATAGAAAAGGAAGGAAGAGAACGTTGAAACGACGCGACGGCGGATACGTTTAATGAAATCGAAGTAAAATCGTGTTAAAATCGTTGAAGGCGTGGAAAAAGTCGATGTGGAAGAGAGGCTCGGGCTGAAATTAGCAACCGAAGGTGTGTGATAAGCACTCAGGACTGGAACAGCCGCTGAGATAATTGAAGTCGCCCTGGAAGAAAAATGTCTACTAGAGGGTGGTCACGAACAGAACTTGAATCGATCAAACTTTCTACTCCTTTTTTGTCTCGAAAATTTCTCTAGAAAATTTATTTCGTATAATCGCAGACACTTTTAACACGTTAGGCTACAGGGTTAAGTCGCGGATGATAATTCGTTCGTACTAGAAACTTGACGTTTCGACTTTCAATCTTTCGACAGTTTCCGGTACTCGTGTTAATCTCGAATACAAATGGTTGTTGTGCGTTTAGTGATAAAACGAATAAAGTTCTACAGGGTGATTCTAAATAAAATAAAACAAACAGATAGATATCGTATAGACAATTTCAAGCTGTAAAAAATATTGTAAGAAACACTGTACTAAAACCTTGTCGTTAGTGACAGCGGAATAAAAGTGTGTGATAAAAGAATAACAAATATCGATGGTTGTGCATTAATCCGTTGAACGTACGACTCTTTGAAATAAAATAAAGTAAAAGAAAGATAGGTATCGAATAAAGGCATTTAGGAAGGAATATTAAATAGTAAATGTCGAGTCTTAAAAAATCGTACATTTCGCATATTAGATCGATAGATAGTTGAACTTGACTTTCGCTGGTGAATTCTTTTCTCGATCAAAGGTAAGAGGATAACGCAAACCGTCGAAGCGTGTCGGTGCTTGGAATGCTGTGATTTAAAGGCAGTTGAATGGTTTCTGTGTTTAAATAAGAACGTTTATACGGCACGGAGAGGAGCGTGGCTTGGTCGGGGGACTGTTCAGAGACGGTGAAGGGGTTCTATTAACGGAATTGCCCGAGTACAAGAAGTAATTAGATCGACCGATTGGAGCTAACCCTGCAGGCGACGACAGGATGATCCGTTTAGCAAACTGCGAGTAGAATAAAGGGAATGCAGGCGAAATTAGCTGGCTGACGAATGGAAAGAGACGAAACAATACGGGAAATCAGTCGCTGAAGAAGAGCAAGAACGAACGAAGGAGAAGTAAGAAGAGTCGAAAGACGGCGTTTGTCGAATTGGCTGTGAATGGTAAATTTCGAAGACGCTGATAGATTTCACTGTTCTTTCTTGGGCCGAGTTGCCGGGGAAAGAGATTGGAAGAGAAAACGTTGGTAGAAAGCAACTTTGACGATAGTTTCGTAATCGAAGTAGGAAAGTGAGAATATAAATATATGGTAATATTGATATTGGTGGAGAGAAATGACGAGGCAAAGCATGTAATGATATTAGAGGAATTTATTAATCAACTGTCGAAGAAGAGAGATAATTTCTACTTTTGACAATTATACTTTCCTAACACGGTCATGCGTGTGCGATTAATCAAGTGTTGATTATCGAGTGAATGCCAAGTGAAATAATTACATGTCGGACAAGCGAAGGAATCCGTGGAACTGGAAAGAAAGGATGTAAAAAAAAGGAAAGATGAATTCTTGTCCATCTTCGACCAGCTGATTAAAATCCATTATATCCAGTTCAGAAAATAAGAAATTCCTCAAAAGGTTTAGGTTGTTCGAACGTGTCTGGCAGAAATAAAGAATTCACCGATAAAAATCGAAATATAATAAACGAAGAAACGAAGCGTGGTGTATTTTTCAAAAAAGTTCAAAGAATCCGTCTTCAAGTTCGTAACATCCAAAAACGAATGCCGGATTAAGACTAAGCGTTGGTGAAACCGAAAAAGGAGAAGCATTACTACAAATTTTCCGTAACGTTTAAACAATTGAGAGAATCGAAAAAAGAGACGTAACTGAATTTGCCGCTCTGTCGTTTCAGCTTGCAATAACGCTTCGCGACACGCAAAAGCCTCGTAAACGTTGGTGAAATCGAACAGAAAAAAGCAAAAGTTAAAAGAGGCGAAGGAAGCGAAAGGGAACGCGAAGACCGATATCGGTTGAAAACGACCGATGATCAACCGTTGATCGTTCGATCGTTAATCGGTTCGCGTCGTTATGGAGGTGCAAGCGATCGCGCGACGTTTTTCCAGTAGAGTCGATCGAGGGTCTGGATTCGGGGGTTTGTTCAGCCGAAAGTGGTGCTCGGTAGTTGGAGACGCGGCGCGACAGCTTGCTAACTAAAATGCGAGAGCTGAACGCGACCGCATGTGCTGCCCTGTACGAGCGCGTCGAGTGGTCCGGCCCGTGGATTCTGGTTACTCTGATCGTGCTCGCGATCGTCAACGTGATGGTGGTCCTGGGTAACGTGCTAGTGATACTGGCTGTTTATCATACCAGCAAACTGCGAAACGTCACGAATATGTTCATCGTGAGCCTCGCGGTGGCGGATCTCATGGTCGGTTTGGCTGTGCTTCCGTTCAGCGCCACATGGGAAGTTTTTAAGGTGAGATTATTCCTGAAACATCTGTATTCCTTTGTTTCTCCTTTAAAATTCTATCGTTTCGACCAAGTTTAGTAATTTATACATTCGGCACGATCTGTCAAATACAAAAAATTAATCGGCAAAACAAAAAGAAAATACTCGTAAAGCGAAAAGATAATCATTTGCAACCATCTCCTCGATTCGAGCCCTAAAATGCGACCTCAAAAAAGCTTCAGCCACAGAAAATCGTTCGAAAATCCGTTTTCTACGCGAACACAACCGTACAACGGTAATATATCGCGCTTTATATCTCGAAATTAGAACGCCTCGGCATCAAATAGGAACGAGACGCATCCAACGATAGAATCACTGCATCCCGATCGACGATTCTTCGTCGTTCAGCAACGAATCTCGTTGCGTGCCGATCTCTCGTCCCTTCGATGGTTTACCTATCGACCATCGTCTCTTTTCTTTCTCTTTCGTTGTTCTTCTCTTCCTCTTTTTCCTTTTCTTTCCATTTTTTCTTTTTCTTCTTTTCTACCTACCAAAAGGCAAGTATAACGGCGAAGCGACCAACGACGAGTTCTCGAACGCGAATCTGCGGCGAAATTCGAGACTCGCGAACGAACGGAATATCGGAGCGACGATGCGCGAATCCTAGCCTGTTAAACGTTCGTCCCACTTCAGGTATTGCTTCCGTGATTTCCACAGGGAGTAGGACTTTTTGCACGGTGATATTTTTGGTTTAGAATTGTTTGCGGGTCGAAAGTCAAGGCACGGTGAACCTATTTGGTAAATTTTTTGTTTTGTTTTGAGATAAGGTTCGTTAACCGTTACGATCTTTCGATATCTTGTTCGAGTCGAGGAAAATCTAACGAAGAGAAAAAGAAACGAGGAAACTAAAGAAAAAGAGAAATTTACCTATACTCGTGTCGATATCCCCTCGGACGTTACTAAACTTCTCCTATATTTCTGCATACTAAAAATTATCAAATTAACGCTGTGCTTGATCCAGACATAATGGCGGGAAAATAAAATGATAAATAGATGAAATAGAAGAAATAAGACGAGTCACGAATAATATAAGAATCGACAACGAAGTCACCTCTTAAAAAATAAAGATTAAAAATAGAAAAGAAAAATCATCCGTTGAATATTTGTTACACGCGTACATGAAAGACGCGGACATGCCTAGTGAAGAACACCTCGATACAATTATCTCGACTATCAAAGATAACGTTCAACGCGCTATAATCGCGAGCCCTGAGGAACTCGTGGCAAAAAGCGTATAACCGCCGAAATAACCGCGGACGGGGAGGGGTTAAGCGCAACAGTTTGCCGGCTTTCGTCCTTCGTTCCTCCCTGGCCCCCCTCTGAAAGATGAACGTTTCTAGCCAGGGGGATGAGAGCGGTGGATCGTTGCGCCTGGTATTCCGCACGAAGAAACTGGGATTTGGATTTACAGCTAGATAGAATTCGCGATAGATGGGATTTATCGTTGGTTTATCGAATGGGTGGATCCAGGAATTTTACAGATAGAAATGGTTCTCCTTATTTCGTTATATATGTCCATTTTAGATCTTTATTTTTATTTAATTTTTAGAGCCAGACAGCTTTCGAAATGCCTAAATGGAATTGCTTTTCTCGAAAACTTTTTCTTAGGTGCTTCGAGGATATATTTTATTGGATCGGAGATATTTCTATACATAGATAGGCAACTGATTCTTTTTTTTTTATCGTTATATGTCCGTTTAAAGGATTATTTAGTAGGAAAATATCGGCCTCTATATCTTTCGTCCTTATTATCTAATTTCTAGGGATGACAGATTTCTACTTCAAATTTTCTGTTCTTTGTTCGAACGGTCGGTCGAATTTTACATAAAGAAGTGATTCTTTCTTATCGTTTTGTATAGCTAATACTATATAAAGCGATGTTTGGTAAAAGAGGAAACGAAGACGTCTTAACGGACATTTACATGAGAAATATTTCATATTATATGGTATTTCATATTTCATATTTCATATACGTACACACTGTATATAAAATATTTTGTATGCGAAATATAAACATACAGGTAAATTATTAGATTTCAACGATAGTTGGAACGTATCTGGTATGTATCTGGTTAGTGTAGACCGCGGACCGTACGCTGTAGACCGGGGATCGTAGACGAACGAAACTCGAGCGTTAAAACGAGAGAGCGATGAACGGAATATAATATGCTTTCTGCATTATTTACCAAAATCATCTGTGTTCGCCATCATTTCGTACAATTCTCTTACCATATTAATGAAGGCGTGTTTAATTTCAAATTGCCTGAATAATTTTTAAGAATCGTATGCTTCTCGATTCATCGATTTTTCATATACCTGGAACGATGACAAATTTGATATTCAAACTGCCAATCGGAATTTGAAAGAGAAAAGTAGGTAAAAAATTAGAGTAAAATACTTTAGAGCAGCTGAGATATTAAAAAGTAAGTTGCAATAAAAGTTGCGTTAAAAGACTAAAGTAATTTAACATTGATTAAAAGATGGGTAAAAAAGTTGGGAGAAAATACCGAGAGGTCAACGGATGAATAAAAGAAAATGATTATCTAAAGAACTGAAAGAATTCACTGACTGAGCAAAAGGAATTGGAAAATAATCGAGGTGAAAGAGTTAAATCCCAAGGAGGCGAACAAACAATCGTTTCGATGCTTGCTCTCTAGGCATACAGCACACCGTATCAGATCAATGTCTAATAATTAATCATAATCTTGTTGTGAAAACAGGAATAATCCTCGTGATGAAAAATCAGAAACGCAAGAATCAATGTGGATATAAGGACAAGTATTCGATAAGTATTTTAAAGATTGTAAATAAAGAAACGAAATGGAAATTTCATAGCCCTTATGGAGCATTTAAGAACACGGGGCGTTTAATTTTATCCAGAATTTGTTATAAATTAAATTGTTGATCGTTGATATAGCGTAAATTGCAACGCGACCTTTTCCAAGATAATTGCACTCTGGTTATTTATCGAAGAACGTATCGCATCGATGAAAAGCAAGCGGATGAACATTTTTATTGGCCGGAAGTTATTTTTACAATTACAACTGCGAATTTTCCAATGAAATTAAAATCGAACATGTTGAAAGGAATCGCCAGTTTGAATAGCCAGTCACGATTTCCGTTTCAAACATAATTCTCCATGAACACGATATTTGCTAGAAGATAAAGAGAGAACAAACATGAATTTAGATCATCTTTGAGAGATAGATAACCGTGCTTCCGTCTGTACAAAGCTTGGCAAATTTCTGAGCAACGCGCAAACATCCGCAGGCGATCGATAATTAATTCGTTCCGAGTAACCTGGCAATGTGTATAAACCGCACGAGTAATCGATATGCGAAACTTTCATTAATGATTTCACTAACGATTCTGGCCGATGAACGAGAAAACGGTTAATTGGTATCCATGGTACGGTTATCTTCGAATATTCCGCTGATCGGTATTAATAACAAGCGTTATTGCGGAATAGAGGTTGGCGCAACGAGGGTATATTAATCGAATGGAACAGAGGCAGGGACAGGAGTAATTGGGAACAGGTGGTTGCACCGGCTACCAGCGTATGCACGTGCACTGTACGGTACAGTACAGTCAGCCGCCAATCCGCGTTACACCTACCGAGTGCAGCGTCCCGTTGCCGCGTTGGCCTGGCGTCCAAATCCAGATGTCAGGCTACGTTCTCCTCTTATCTCGAAGATAACGGACGACCCGATGGATTTTGGACGGATTTTTAACCCGGTCGATGGAATTCAACTACGAATGTAAAAATACTATTTTGCTACTTTCAATTATCTTTGTCGTAGTATCGTAGCTGAGAAGATTTCTAGAAAAAACGGTTTTCTTTCAATTCGTACGATGTCTTCGTACAAAAAGACGAATCGAGTAAATTGCGTAAATCGGAAATTTTAGTTTTGGTATTTTAATACGATATTAGCGACTAGTATTAGTAAAGATTAGTAAAAAGAAAAAAGCCGAGGTTGCCTGAAAACGTAAAACCGCGTTCTAGTACGCGTAGTCGAGCGACGTTCCTCGGGTCAGGTTTTACTCGGCGATAGGATATACGGAATTTGGATTGGTTTCGGCGTTGCGGAGAAGACGAGAAGATTGAAACGAAGAATAGGGGATAGACGAAGGTATCGTAGCTTGCGGAGGATGTATCGGTGAAAACGTGGATTCCACCGCGACCGTGCAACTTGGTCTCCTAAAAACGAAGGAAATGAGAGGAAAATTTATACGAGGCCCCTTTATGATAAAATAGTAGCAATTACCTCGATGTATATTGTGTACATGACATGTACTTTGAAAAACTTGTCGCATAATTAGGGATTACGGATTCAAGTATATTTGAACGTTTGAAAAATGAACGAATATAATACAATAGGATGGGAGACATTGTCGAAACGTTTTTCGAATTTGTGACTTTTGTACGTTATGTTGGAAGGTGTGGATATTCGGTGATCTATGGTGCTCGATCTGGCTGGCGGTGGACGTATGGATGTGCACGGCATCGATATTGAATTTGTGCGCCATCAGTCTGGATAGATACTTAGCAGTGACCAGGCCAGTGAGTTATCCTCAGGCAAGTACCATTTACCGATTATTCGATTTCGCGGTACAAGGTGTACAGCTATGGGAACGCTCGATAAAGCCATTTGTCTACTATTCTACGCCTCTGTTTCCTCTCTTCTATTCTACGCTTCTGTTTGCCGCCTCCTATTCTATACGCCTCAGTTTCCACCTCAAATAGTCTCTGTGTTCGACGTTTCCCTTCCAACGGCTTAATTGATCGATCGTTTGTTCAACTTGCTACGTTTGACTTTCGCGACCGCTTCGTAATAACGTTGTTACCACTCTGTTCCATGAAATTCTGCGATCCGAACGTTCAGTTTTGTTTCGTACGTCTACGGAGAAGTTTCTTACGGAAACACGTGTAGCTAAAACCTTCTTCGATATCGAATGGTCTGAAGAAATGTCCAATTTTCACTTTATTATATTATCGTGATATATTACACAAATAATGCAAATAATAACAATACAAATAATAAGATATATAGATACAAAGAATTGTTGGTAATTGTTTGTTTCTTTCTGTGAAAATATTATCGCATTACAATTGGTACGGAAAATGTAAAGAATCGTTAGTGGTTTGTTTGACCATCGCGCACGTTCAAATTTGAGAAAATCCTCGAAGGGATTTTCCGACCATTCGAGGCGGTTTCATTCGCCGGTTTCTATATTTCTGTATATTTTCTAGGAATTCTTAAATATTTCAAAAGATTTTGCAAGATTCCCAAAGGTTTTCTAAAGGCATTGAATAACGATCGTCATAAAGATGTTCGATATTTAGAAATTTCCCAACATGTCGAAACGTTTCCCCGTATCCTTTTCCAATAATGCGAAGTAAAAAATTCTCGGCAATGATAAATTCTTTCGAAGAATGAAAAACAATCTGACGTCTAAAGACATTGAATTCGGTTGTTAAAATTCTTGTTTTACCGATATTTACTCCCTTTATTTTTAGCTTTATTATTAGCTTTATTATTCACGGTGTTTCAGTAAGCCTGTTATCATAACCCTTTAAAATCTAGATCATGTCACCAAGAAGGGCAAGGCTGCTAGTGGCAACCGTGTGGATCTTGAGCTTCGTTATCTGTTTCCCACCCCTGGTTGGCTGGAAAGACAAACGGGTAACTACCATCGACGTCGACAGTTTGTTCGCTCGTTACACGGTGTCCTTGTACATTTTTGCGCTCGTTTCGCAGTCTCACCCCACGTACAACGCGACGTTCGCTCAGAACGGACCGTTCAACACCACCACTATACTCATCCCCGTGAAACCGTGTCCCTGGATCTGTGAACTGACAAACGACGCAGGCTACGTCGTTTACAGGTAAGGAAAGAAAACGGTAGTAGGGAAAAGATATCGTCAAGATAAAGTTGATTCTTGAAATCCCCGGATCGAACATTTAAGAAAAGCTGGTGTCGTTCGAATGGCGTAGGATCTACGCTACAGCAGTAATTGGCAATTCGGCTGATGGAGATTTTGAAAAGAAATTATTTGCGTCGAGGAATTCGAAATTACGAATCAAGAGAGTTAAGAGTCGAATTTACGGGAATAGAAATTTGAAAATTTCAAAATTCCGATACTTTGATATCCGAAAGTTAAGATATTTCGACAGCTTGACAGTTCTAAACTATAATATTTCGACGGGTTGACGTTTCAGAGTTTTGAAACTTGTATACCTTTGATACTGCGAATTCAGCTGCCTGTCGCTATACGTATGTATAGTTTCTATATACATGTTTGCTATACTCCTTCTTCGATCGAAAGTACAACTTTGAAAAACTACTAGTCTCCACGATGCGATATAATATATATATATATATATGTAATATACATGTATTATAATGTAATAATATATATATATAATAATATAATATAATATATAATATAATATATATATAATAATAATATAATATAATAATAATAATATATATATAATAATATACATGTTTGCTATACTCCTTCTTCGATCGAAAGTACAACTTTGAAAAACTACTAGTCTCCACGATGCGATATAATATATATATATATATATATATATATAGCAAAGCGAAATGACGCACGTAAGCTTCGACTTCGATAGTTTCACTGCATCACGGGAACAGAAATTATCGAGTCGTCGAGCAGGAAGTCTGAATTTTCTGGCAAACGTCGCGTCTATTCTTACCGTGTTATCGCGATCGGCGTGTGCATCAATCCACGCCGGTTTATGCTCGACGTTGCATCTAAATCAACCTCCGAGTAGACGGTTAGCGTTCCATCGTGTGCCAGACGAATCTACATTTCTGGCTGGCAACGTTATCATTTTCACTTGGCTCGCGATATTTCAATCTTTTCCAGCTCAAGCGTAAAATCGTCTCCTTTCGAGAAACGCAGGCCGGGAACGCCGGGGAATAACGTATTAAAATTGACGTGGATCGATGCTGTAACAATTATCGTTAGGCAGAGAAAGATAAGGAAAACTAACTGGCAATGTACGTATTTTCTCTCGAAATACATTTTCATGGATAGCTCGCTTGTTATTCTATCGCGTCCAATTTGCCGAGAGTTATCAACTCTCAAATCAGATTGATTTACATATGTTTATGATAAATGGTACGCGGTAGAATCTGCATCGTGGAAAATAATGGAAAGTGGCAATGTGTGACTCCTTGCGAATCTAATATCTATCGATATATCGCTATGCGTATTCAAATTTTCTTTCTAATTAAAACGAGACACTCTTTCCAATCGTTGTACAAACGTATCGATTCAATTTTGTATAAATTGGATGGTTCGACGACCGTATTTATAAGCGCGTGGAAAGATATCGCGGTATAGAACTGAATTGCTTCGTGTTGTATTTTTGGAAAGGTAGTTACCGATGTTTCTTTCTATTCCACTAGATATACATATACGTTATATCGTACGAGATAATAGGAACATTTATCGAATCGAACGTGCCGACAAAAATGAAGATTCTTTTCATGGAAATTCGATAGTCGCCATTTATTATATCGAAGGATTTCTCGTCATTTGGAATATAACGAACGAACGGGGACAGTAATAAATCGAAACGATTGGCGAATATTTTTGAATTTTCAAATGCACGAGACAAGAGCCTGAATTGAGACGTAGCTTGTCGTATTTTACGAAATATCATTGCAATGTTATCAAACTTTCTTTTCTCTGTGAAATATTTATTGTCAACCACAATTGAATTGTCTAAATGGTTCGGATCAGGGGTGTACAGTGCTTGGATCCGTGAGCGCGACATAGAATTTCATAGCACAGTTCGTTTCGTTTTTCCAGCGTCGCAGGTGCGATCGAAAGATAAAAGATAAAACGCTCTCTATTCATCGGCATCTATTGTGCCTGTGCCAACAAAGGGACACAACTTGATCCCTTATCTGATACAAAGAGCAATACCGTAGACAAACAGTAGCTTTATCCATAGACGCGAAGTTTACAAGGCTATCTGCGTGCCAGAGTTCCGTATCTTGTCGCCACGCCGCGCCATATAGAAAAAGATACGCCAAAGCGAAACTGCAAATTCAATGAAACTCGCTATCGCGCATCGCGTCCTTTTCGATACCACGTTTCCTCTCCCGTCTCTTCCATTCGTTCCTCATCTTCCGACATATTCTATAAATCGAATCGCAGAGAATAACCTGCAACTGTATCAATTTTTAACGATATAGGTGATCCTTTTATTCCAAAATCGTTTAACAACCAGCAATTTGTATGCGATAGACGCCCTTCTTTCCAAGTTGAACGAATTCTACCCGTAAATCTACGATTAATTTCTGACAGCAGTAACGATCTATCTTTCTAATGTTCCAACATCGGAATTAAACGGAATTTACAAATCCTTTCTTGACAAAACTCTCGATAATTTCGCGTGACCCATGATGTGATTAACCGTTACCTTACGTAATCTCACAACCCTTCACTCGATATCCTTAAGTTTATAATTTTCAACTAATCCACCCGACCTCGACAAAATTCACCATTCTCCGATCAATTTCCTGCGCTTCGTCTCCAACCTTCCTAGAAACTCGAGAAAACACCACGACTCGATAAGAGAAAACAAGAAGGAACTTGACAAACAGGTGGCTCCATTAAACGCGATTCTCGTCTAATTGTAAGAATGCCCGAGAGAGAGAGAGAGAGAGAGAGAGAGAGAGAGAGAGAGAGACGAAGGACGCTTCCTCGTTGTAAAACGAAGTTATCCTTCTCCCTTCTTTTGCCACCTTCTCTATGTACGATGAAATTAAACAGTTGTTATTTGCAGCGCGCTCGGCTCTTTCTATATACCAATGCTGGTCATGCTGTTTTTCTACTGGAGGATCTACAACGCAGCCGTCTCCACTACGAAAGCCATTAATCAAGGCTTTCGTACGACAAAGGGCTCGAAAATGCTTGGCTCTAGGTAAATCCAACGCACCATAGCTTCTCCAAGGAATTGAAAAGATGGAAAATCGTGATACGTTGCTACTCTTTCGTCATTTCTTTTGCCGTTATTTCAAACGAGTTCGATCAACAGCGATTTGGCTGCGAGTTTTATCGGGGTTAACCAGCTTCTTCATCTTTCTCGCTTTCCTCTTTTTCTTTCTATTCTTCGTCGATCTCCGATTCGTTAAAAAAGAAAAAAAAGACACAGCCTCTGGAACTTTGGACGATTGCTTACAGATTCGACGAGCAAAGGTTGACCTTGAGGATTCACCGTGGTCGAGGTAGTGTCCACAACGGGAGCAACAACGGGAGCCCGAGGAGTCCAGAGTCGAATAGCCGTAGCTCGGTGAAAAAGGAAAAGATAAAGATCTCGGTGTCGTATCCGAGCACGGAGACGTTGAATACAAAGTGTAACACCCTCGAGAGGACGCCCTCGAGGTGTTCTCAGACCTCCGTGCACTATAGTAACGGGCAAACGCACAGTCAACTGTGTCCCTCCCCCAGGAACACGCATCTCAAGGTAATTCCGCGTATACCACTGTACTGACCTTCTTCAAAGTGGCCTCGATGTCATATTTTTACATTTAGCGATGGATCATATAGATTGAAACTATCGTATCCTGGCGAATAGATCGTAGCGCTTTTTAAATACTTGCACGAGTTTTCTTCAATCTCCGATTAGATGTAATGCTTGTTGCTTCTTCTTCCAGTTTATAAATAATAAATAATAAATAACAAATAATAAATAGTATATAATATATAATATATAATACACGTTGTCGATAATATCGTAGGATAAAATCGTAGGAACGTGCAGGTTGAAGGACTCACTGTATTCTATTTCTCTGAAGTAGTTCAAGTCAGAGATACATGCTCGTATATTCAAATTTGTGAATTTAAAAAAATTCCAGATCGATATCCTCGGTTGGTTTATTCGCCTTCTTTTGGCAGCTATTCAATTTTCTGAAATGTAAATCACGCCACGCGAAAGAGAGAAGCCAAAAGCGATTACAGAGCGCCATAAATATGCATCAGCGGCAGGATACGCTACGAAATCTCCAGCTCTTTCTACCCTTAACCCTTACCGATAAAAATTCATTACCTTAAAATTCATAATTGTCCTCGTACCTATCGAGTATAGTTTGCCGAAACTATTTGCGTAAAGGAATTTTTACTTTACAGAGAAATTTGTTCCAATTACTTTCGATCGAAATCAGAAATCAGAAATCACAATTAGAAAAAGTCCACAACTAACATCAAATATATTTTTCCTTACTGATGGAATTAGCAAATCCCTTGATTAACATTGTTTTGCCGACTTTTGCCTCGATTATCCTTGCCTGAATCGGTAATTCTTGCAAAAAGCCGATAGAAAGCGAATATAATACGATCGTAAAATCGTGAAATGCTGATGACAAGATTCCCTGGGGGAAAACGCCAGAGAAGGTTGTGGTTAAAGGTCGGTTCGATACGTCGGTGACAGGTGAGCGGTATCAACAGGGTTGGCAGCGCCAGGAGACCCAGCAGGCGGAGTAGCTGCGAGAGTCAAACGGGGGATGAGATGTCGTTGCGAGAGCTCAGCCAGGGTCCCGAGGAGAAGCCCAGGGCGATGAAGATGGGGAAGAGGAATATCAAAGCTCAGGTATCCCACTGAATTTTCGAGAAACACTGAAATTAAGTTGAGAGGAAAGGAGACCGGTACGTCCTTGCATTGTTATTCCATTCGCGCTTTACGCGACCGTTAGAACAAACAAAATAGGTTGAGGAACAGATTTGAAGACTATATGGGAAGCAATTGATGCGTAAAGTATGATTAACGGTGCAGGTGAAAAGATTCCGAATGGAAACGAAGGCAGCCAAGACACTGGGCATCATCGTCGGCGGATTCATCCTCTGTTGGCTTCCCTTCTTCACGATGTATCTGGTGCGCGCCTTCTGTCCCAATTGTATTCATCCCACGGTGTTTAGCGTGTTATTTTGGCTGGGCTACTGCAATTCAGCGATAAATCCGTGTATCTACGCGCTTTTTAGCAAAGACTTCCGGTTCGCGTTCAAGAGAATTATTTGCAAATGCTTCTGCAAGCGGCGGGCGAATACTTTGAGACGTGGCAGCGATGGCAGCCAATTAGCCACGAGGTGAGCTTAAACTTAGTTTAAAGAATAATATAAATAACACGACCGATCCCTTTCGATCGTGAAAGCCGACGCGTACACGCCCCTTGAATAAGACACGTTCTAGCAAACGTGTTACACGCATACCATACGCATACATGTGAAAAGATGACGCAATTTGTTAGATTTTTATCAACGAGATACATAGCAAGGAGATAACAGATACATAATGCAAAAAGACCACCTTCCACCTCTTCCGATACAATTTCCAAATGTTTGGCAACAAAAAAATATTCGTTACGATACAGGCGTGTCTGTTGGCAGAAACGACCGGAGTCCCAGTTACTCGATGCAGGTGCCTCAACAAGGTGTATCCATCGACGATTCGGACCAAGATCCCAGCTCGGAACCGACGGTGCACTCGCACAGCGAATCAAGATGACTGTAGCGTGCCAGGTGTGGCGCTCAGCGCGTCACCTTCGACCCGACGACCTCGAAAGTAAGGATCCAGTCGTTCTAAATTCGAAAGAATCTCAACGATCCTCGACGACCATCCGAATCATCCGCACAACGATCCGTGCCGCGGAATCGAGCACGTTCGATCGTTTACCCAGAAACCAGTGTGTTCGCGAGTAATATATATACTAGTAGTCGCGACAAACGGTCGAGCTTCTTCGGTGTCTTACTTCGTTCCGTCAGCGAATGAAATACGAAGAGACGTTTCTTAGGAGATAAAAATTCGCTCAAGCTAGTCGTAAATCGAGACTGAAAACGATAAAATTAACAAAGAAAGAACAAATGGACCGACGAAGGATTCGCTGCCTAGAGATGGCAAACTGTTCATTGTATTTGTTGGAATAGTTAAATAGGAATTATGGCGAAAGTTGGAGCGCGAAGAAGAGGAAGAACGACGAGCGCGAGGGAAGCAACGACGGAGAATCCAGTGTACCATAAACGGATATTAAAAACGCAAGTTTCGTTATCTTTCAAAGTCAACAGCGTCTGTTGGCTATCGAAGCTGCCTTTGACTATCGAGGCTCTCGGCTAACCGTCGCGTCATCGTTGTCACCGTATTATTTCCGTAGATTTTTCACCGTTTCTCGTTGGTTATACGCAATGATGGCGTTTAACGATCGCCTTCGCTGAACACGCGACATTCTGTGCGTTGTACAGCTTCCTTCAAACATTATCGATCGTTAACTAGATCATTTTTCAGTCTGTGAAACAAGATGGTGAACGGATTTGAAAGAATTTTGTTTGGACATCCTGTAGCGAGCGTGATCGAGATACGCACGTATGCGCTGTAAAACATAAAGTATGTAAGTGTAAGTGTTGTTTCAAAAAAACGAAGGTAACTCGCTTTGGAATATTTTGTATGGACAGTTTCGATTCTTTCTCGAACGTATTACGATCGTTCGAGAGGGGACAGAGGAACGTACGAAATCGGCGAGATTCGTCGCATTATGTGATATACGTCTACGATGCGTCTTTACGTTCGTTTCTTTAAACGAACCGCACGAAAGAATAAATATGCGAATGAAATCCACGATAGTTGACCCCTTTCCTGCAAATTCCTCATTTCGATCCTCCATTATTTCCGGTTTTTCGCGGAAGAACATGGAACGAGTTTGACGTTTGATGATAAAGTCTCGAATGTACCAATTTTTGCAGTTCCACATTTTGGAAAGTTTAAGTTTCGAAGGCTTTGCGATTAAACAATTTTATGTTTGGAAATTGTTAACCTCGTTCCAAATTCGAAAATTTGCGAATTTGACAGTTTGCAGCCTTAAAGATACGCAATGTTCAAGTTGCACAGGTTAAACTTTGCAGCTTCAAGTGCTCGAGATCTCGTGTTTTGAGATCCCGAATCAACAAAACCAAAAATTTAGAAATTAACAAATTTCAACGTTCGGCGATACAAGGATTTAGGACGCCGGTACAGCTGCTAACCGCAGGTACGTATTTATACGTAAAATATATATATCGAGAGAGAAATACGTAAACTTATGTATTTCGATTTATCGCTCATCGAAATCTTTTTTTTTTCCTATTCACATATTTTTCCGCGTGGATCGGAACATATATATATATACATATAAAACAGTCATCCAGCAACAGTTGATAAGCTATGGAATCGAAAAAACTAACTTTTGGAATTTTTGTCCGTCCGTTTGTTTGTCCATTTGTACTGGCATCGTTTAAAAATTGTTGAATGGATTTTGATGGAATCTTCCCTTCTATAGTTTCGCGTCCGAGAAAGAAAATAGGAAACGAAAAGAAAACATTTTGTAAAAGCTGAGAAATAGCCTGGAATCCGAGTTACACGCGCTCCCATATTTGACAGAGATCAAGCAACGATGGCTATCTTTTACGCGGTGCTTGCTCAGAAATCGAATGTTTTTACAATTTTTACTACTTTTTAATTTAACTAACCGTTAATGCAAAAAATGTATAGATATTTCGTTTATAAAAATTCATCCGCTTAAAAATTCTGCCGTATATTGGTAATTCACGCGAACCAAGTCGCGATCAAAATCTGGTTTTCTGTAAACGAAAAATTCATCGACAGGCTTTAATGTATTAAATCAACGTTTACTCCTATAATAGATCTATCGTATAATTTCCTATATTCTTTGTAACACATGCGTGAAAGCGACGATTCGAATTGAACGGAAACGGAAAGGAGATACGCGGTACACAGCATTAGGTGGAACATGGTAATTTATCGATCTATTCTAAAATCGATGGCAATTACGTAACGCGCGTTGGTTCGTCCATGCGTTAAATAATTATTCCAATCGAATCTATTTCAATTTTCGTTCGAAATTAAAAAAAAAACTACGTTTTTCAATCGCTTGAAATTCATAATGATGCGAAAAAATGAAAATAAAGAAAGAAGGTAATCGCGGACACGGAGCGAAAGCAGTTTCGGCAAAGACCGCTTAGCGACTTACAAACTAGTCGACGAAGGAGGAGAGAACGAAGAATGGAACGTGCGTTTTACGGTTAAAAGATCGTCGACACGCTCAGTTGTCCGGTCTTTTACCTTTCGTTCGCGTGATCCACGAATTTCTCACCGACGCGACGTATACGTAGGTCATGGTTGCCATTCGCGAGACACGAGGAAGTTGAGAGAGGCACGAGCGGCAAAGCGTCATGAACATCGAAGAAAGTATAAAACGAGTAAAAACCCGCCTCTTTCGTTTATCAAGTTGGACGAATAATTTCGTTAGTCCTTTTATCGGGCTTTTTTTTTTTTTTTTTTTTTATATCAACTGCTTACGATTTAATTTCCTGCTGTTTAACGATGCAAATACGTACTATGATGTTCACGTTGTGTTAAAAATGAATATATACCGTTAAGTGTGTAGGAAAAACGGCTTGATCAAACACGTATCAGAGAATACCTTCGATTTACTTTTTGTCGATCATTGTCGGTATCACTGTCCTGCCGATCGACCGTACGGTAACTACCGAAACATTGTGTACTCTGTAGGAACCACGCGAAACACCCATCGATAGTTTTATTATGTTTAAAAACCAGAGTTTAAAAACTAAAGTCGCTGGAAACTCCACAGTCGAATAATTAATCGAGTAATTAATCGAGTAGTTGTCGTAAATTAATTCCGTGATGCGGTGGATCAAAGCAAATTATTCGTTCGACACGAAATCCCATCGATGGTGGCCCGTGACAGGTCAGATAGTATTCGGCTGTCCAGTAAATTAACGAATTCACCCAGTCAAAGCGGTGACCTGCTTTCGTAAAACTTTTATAAAAACCGATTACCTACCCCTGTGCGGATGCAACCGGACCAGCTGCAATTCGTGTTTTATTTTTCATCGCTAAGACAGCGGATTCCTTCGAGACGTTCCTTATTTCGCAGATACACGATGGAAGGGATTTTTATAAAGTAGTACAAGTCTGTTTACGATGTAACGTTTAATTTTTTCTTCAAAGATTTGATTATTCGGTTGTTGGATTGTGTGTAAGATTCGTTCCAAAGTGAAAGACCTATTGAAAGACCTATAAAAGACTTAAAAATTACACAGGTATTAAAAATAAATAAAGAATCGAGTGAAACATAAGCCGAAATTAAGTGAAAATGAAAAGTAGACTGATTTATTCGCGTGTAAATTAATTTACTTGCGACTATTAACGAACAAGCAAGTGTAAGAGAAAAGAGAACGAATGCGAATTAAGTTCGTTCTCGTTGGTGTGTGACAGACGCGGTTGCGTGGAACGAACTCGAAAGGCATTCGTCAAGTTCGATTATCCCCTCACCGGTGAAATAACCCCCCCGCGGCAAGAAACGCGTTTCGTCAGAAATTCTCGATCGAACGTCGCGATGCGAAGATTATTCTGCCTTTTTTCTTTTATTATTTTGACAAAGAAAGGAAAAGGCGGCTACCAATCGTTAGTAGCTTGTAACGAACCCAACTTCCCTTCCTTGGACATACGCTGTTTTTATCTCGATAGACGCGACTGTTAGAAGATAAAATTGGTTACGCCTGAGAAAACGAATCATACGAATATAGGCATGTAGAGGAGGAATTTTTCATGTCTTTAAGTTGTTGATTTTATAGTTTTCTTAGCAGCGCGTAGATTTGTAACGAAAAATTTGGATTTTTCACAGAGGTCAAAAGAACTGTGCGATAAAAGCTCTTTTTTTCAATTCTATTTCTATCGCAGGACAATTATCTTGCTCCGTTACCATTTTGTCAGAATCGATTCTTCCGTTTCCAACTTTCGGTCGAACTTCGCTAATTGTGTCGTTCGAAAATCCTAGAGTTCCAAAAGGACGAAATTATAATATTCGAGAACTCTGACGATTCACCGCTCCTTTGCCAAGACGAATCGTACAATTTTCCCAAGCCGATGGTTGCTCGATAAAAAAAAACAACCAACGATCGACTCGATCGGTTGGTTACTTTGCTTGCGGCAGATTCGTGGCCATGACCCTAAACCCATTATGATCTGCCACGTAATGAACCTGTTGCAGAAGCCCGTTTGGATCGATATAGCTATAAGCACCCCTGGTCGTCCCATCCAAAGATCTAGATTCTGTTTTCGCGCTCGAGTCTCCGGTATAACTGTAATCGTATTGGCCTAAAGAATCTTGAGTGTGGTGGAGGGCGCTGTGCAATAGTCTGTACGGTAAAACCGGAAGTACATAGGGCGCAGGGACAGTTACAGGCGTCTGGATGGTGTCCACAGATGATTGTTCTTCGTTCTTGCGTTGTCTATCGGATCGAATGGATGACGATGGCGATGAGGAAATGGTCGACGAAGGCAATATCTTTGAGAGACTCGGGTCTGGCTTTGGCACCTCGATCCTTTCAGCTTCCGATTTCGACAGCAAGAATGGATTGTTCGGGTTTTGCTGAAACGGTATGACGGTTTTAGCGATTTGAAACTTTGCACGTCAATTCGCTGAAATTTGAGACAGAGAATTTTCGTCTCGTAAAATAGCAACTGTCGGTTTTTCAACGCTAAAGCTACCGATTAAAAGGATCGTGCAATCTTTACTGAAATACGTCACGCGTACAAGATGATAAATAAAGAGATATAAGGGTAATCCGCGTGCTTTCAGTAATTCCGAAGATAAAACGCTCGAGTCCAATGGTTTTCCCAATGGATCAATTATTTTAGAAAAAGTTGCACCCAATTGTCGTTTCTACGAGATTAATAGAAAAGTTAATTCTCACTATCAGTTCTCGATGCTCGCGTAATGATAAAAGATATTTCGTATAAACTGAAATCCAAATTTATAAAACGAATATGTAATCGTGTTTTTAGACAGGAAGATTCACCGGTTGCGCTTGCAGCTAGTTTTCCAATCAACAAATTACCAAATTTTATCAAACGTTTCTCTTATCTTGTCTCGAAGCCGGCCAGCTGAACGATATTCGGTTTTATTAACGTGCAACAAACCACTCGCGGAAAACAACAGCCGTGTTAACGTATATTTGCAGGGTTTCGTTCGTGTTTATCTTTGCGCGCGTTATATACATCTTATTAAGATCGCGGTGAATGTAGCATGTACGAATACGTAGCAACGAGTAGTAGCAAGCAAAATTAATAAAGATTAGTTAATAGCAAAGAAAAACGATCGGAGTGCGCTATTAATTACGTACACTTGATCTTTTCAAAACGTACTTTCCTCGATCGTTTCTAGGAAACACGGAATAGTTTCGCGTCGAATTTTCATAGTTTTTATCCCTCGCCTTAAAACGTATTGAACGTGCACTCACTGCGATTTCACGAACAGCTAAATTCCTCGTGTCATGGTTCGCGAAGCTAAAATAAGGTGGCAGGATCTCGTAAGACAGGATGTTTGACTGATAATTCGATCGATCTGTCAGCCGCGACTCTTGTAGCTCCTCCGAGCGAGACTTCTTCTTCGCTTGCGGCTTGTCCTGAATCGCCCGAACATCG